TTTTCCCTCGCCCGTGTCGACTTTTTGTTCGCGTTCTTGTGACATGGTGCGCCGTGTGTGCCGGAAGGGGCCAGCGGTAGGCGAGGCCGAGGAGGCCGCCGCAGACCCCGCGCTGGAGGAGCAGCGACAGGCGTTACAGGAGGCGCTGGAGGAATACCGAGCCAGCCACTTCTCAGTCGCCGAAAAGTGAGGATGGAGGGGTCTTGGGTCGGTGTCTTATAGAAGAGCGAAAATATGTTTTTGTGTCTGGAAGGCAGGCCTCCGCGTGTACTTAAAATATCCTCCCAAATTTCCCGTTCACTCGGTGGCAGCCAAGGTTACAAGGGTGCCTTTTAGCGATCGCCCGACGAACAGAGACGGTGATAGAGTAGCACCGGTGGCCAGCTGGCGTAAATCGCTTGATCGGGGCAGAAGGAGCGCTCCCCCACGCTGAGATTTTACGACCTCCATCAATGGACGACAACAATGGAGGTCGCCGACATCATGTAGACGACACCTGTTGGTGCCGGAAAGCTGTCTTAGGCCAGGTCTGCTGCCGCTTGTACGTGGTCGATCAGGCACCCGTTTTCGAAAATTTGGTCTTTCCTGCCATAGTCTCCTTTCCTGCGCATGTGCAGTGTAAACGCCCACCGCAACAAACCCCTCTACGTGCACCTTACGGGAGCAACTGCTGCGTGCGGCGGAATTAGTAGAACACGTCCCGTATGCATACGTCCGCCGACTCCGCTGCCTGTGGGGCAAGAGTTTTGGGCATGAAACGCATTTGCAGCGAACTTCCGGCTTGATTTATGTGTTCCCCCGTCCGTCCGTCCTCTCGAGGACGCGTGGTAATTTGTCTAACCGCCGGGGCATGCAAAACATAATAAGAGTACGCCACCCCGACACCCTCCCCCCCTTGAGCCCTTTCTTTCGATGAACGAACAAACCAACAATTGCGCTGAATAAACGACAGATCTGCCGCCTGTGTGTTCGAAAAAGACGGCGGCGGAGGCCTGGTGGCGTACGTGTCCGCCCGCAAGCACAACCTTAGGAACTGGTGGAGCGGGACCTGGAGCGGAAGGTTAGTTTTGATTGATGACCCACTAGTGATGGGGAGTATTACGACCCCCCCCCCACAACCGTCATGAGAACCCCAGGAACCGGTGGAGCGGGATCTGGAACAGGAGGTTAGTCTTGATTGACCCCCTATATGAAGGGAGAGCCCCCCCCCCCCTGGCGCCCGTTCCGTGATGCGGACATGTCGGCTGGAGGAATCAGCGCATGAAGTCGCATGGTACACTTCTTGCCGTCAGCAGTTTCGAGAAGAGTGCGTCTTCGTAGAGGCCGCTGTCGCCGCGCCCGCTGTCGCCTCGACGTAAAAGTCAGCTTAGAGATGCAGCAGTACCTCTGCGTGTGACAAAGGTAGGTAGTGGAGCAGCCGGTGCCGCACAAACCACTGTAGGCGTCGAACCCCGCAGCCTTTACACCTACTGCCTTTGGTTCTCTTGCACGGTCAACAGATAATGTCACAAAAAACATTTACAGGCGGCTGGGTACACTCTTCACTCCGGTGGCCCCGTCGTGAACCCTGGTGGCATGGGGNGGGTCAGGCGTTCTACCCCGCAGCCTACGCACCTACTTCTTTTGCATCTCCAACATCTACCACGGGTTTGCTGCATGGTTTACACAAATTGTCACGGAGATCATTGCCAGACTCTTGAAGCCCTGGCGGCGTTGGGGTGGGCCTGGGGCTCCACCGAAGGCGTAACGCCTGTATCACTGAATCCCAGCGTAACACCTATATCCCTGAATCGCCCGGCTGATATCTGTCAGGTATTCCGTGGCGGTTGGGGCAGGATCAGCGGAGGTCTGCGGTGCGATAGCTGTGCGGGGGCACTACTTTGAGAACGGTAACATCCAGCTGCAGACGTCGAAACAAGTTGGAGCGAAAACGGTCGCGTTCACGGTGAGCGACGCGGAGGGGTTTGCACGTGTGTCTGGCGTTACACGACACATTTCGCACGACGATGTTTCAACCGCCAATCAGTAGGCTCCACCACCCTTCTTCATATGTTCAATTTACTGAGTCCTTTGAGGCTATGCATAGGTGTTGTTCTTCTGCTGTGTGCGATCGGTGTCGTTGTTGCTGTTGATATTGTTGGGTGTGGAGAGGAAATTGTGTTTCCCAACTTTCGTTCAGAAACATTTTGTTTTTTTCGTTACATCGCTTTGTTTTCTGCTGCGACTGGTGTCTACTTGATCTGAAAGTGTTTCGCGTTCTCACACCTCGGCACCACCGCGTGTGTGGCGGGGTTGTCTGCCATGGCATTACCTACCTACCTCTTGTCACCTCGGTACAAGACTACCACGGCGTACCGGCCTGTAAACCGGCGTGAAATGGTTGGTGCTCTCAGAAGATGTCACAATGATGGTTGTGATCGCACAACACTCGGCAGTTCGTCAAGTCGAAGCTACTCGTGTTTTCCGCTATATCTTCGGTTTCTTCCCCCTTTGCGTTCGTCTCCTTTTTTTTTTTTGCGTTATCGTCTCGCACAATTTCCTTGTTCTGTGCCGGCACGGCTGTTGGCGAATTGTTGTGTACTTTTACGGTTTGTTCTTCTCCCGCCCTAGGGTGTCCTGCATGTTTCTGTGTCGTCGTGTCTGCAACTGACACTGCTCCGGCTCTCGTTTGAGTTGGTGAGTTTCGTATTTTGTTGTACTTGTCCCGCCCTGGGTGTGTCCTGCATGCGTCTGCGTCGTCCTTCCTGTAACTGCCACTTACCGTGACGCATAGTCTTGTGTGGGCTATTTCACTGCTGTTTTGCCGTGCAGAGCCCCGAGTCGTTGGCGGAGGCGGCGGTGGCGTACATCAAGGAATCCGAGAGCGCGCTGCACGAGGGTCTTGAGGAGATGTATGACAGGATGCCGGGTGTTACTCTGAGGTGTGTTGGTTGTACGGTACGACCCCGCTGTGCGCGGTGTACCGGTATCGGTGGCAAACAGCAGTGCTGTGCACGAGGGAGCGAGAGAGAGAGATGGACATACGTACATACACACATACATACATGCAGGTAGACAGCCAGCCAGAGAGTGTTTCCCTCTGAAGGTTCGAGCAGACTCGTATTAGGCTACATTACCCGACCCCGGCGAAGTTGATCCACGACTCAGACCTCAGACTTCAGGTGATGTTACGGTGCAGTCCTCCTGGGCTAACAAGAAACCGTATGCCATGGTACCAATAAATAAGAGATGGAACACAGAAGACCGTGTGCGAGAGGATGATGCCTGGTTCCCAGGTGCTTCCTTCTCGCATGCAGATCGGGTGCCGTTGGTGGTGCCGACACCGCCGTAGTGAATGCGTGATATATGTCCTTAGATGCAGAGCGCCATCATGTTACATTGGAGTTTGCATCATGATCGGTGACAAGTCGAGGCCGGGGAGGGGGGGGGCAGGGGTCATCGATCGTACCAGGTTGACAGACATCCCGAGGCATGTGGCTCATTCTTCGAGGTAGCTACAACGCCTTTCCCTCTGTGAGTTTGTAGAGAGTCGTGTACGCATTTGCGGTGAGCAGTAGCATGTATACAAACGTAAACAACGTATGCATCCGTGCCTTATTGCAAAGCCCCTGCCAAGGAAATATTCCCCCCTCCTTGCTGATAAACTTTTTTTCGTTCTCCTCTTCCTGACGGCGAGACATTTAGTTATTCCCCGTGCTCCCCGTCCAACGCCAACGCCAACGCCACTACGCCCTCTTTGTGTGCCCACCGTGCCCCAGGAGCATGCGGCGCACGAAGCCCATCACGGCGGACAGCTTCACGTGGAACGTCGCCAAGATCCGCATGCGGAACACGCTCGCGCAGGCCGCGACAAACAAGTAGACAAAACAGCAACCCTTCCTGCATGATTTGTCTTGTTGCTGGTGTTGGTAGTTTGTGGACCCTCGTTGGTGGAAGGTCGCGTACTAGGGTCGTTCAAAGCGTGATTAGTCGAGATCGTAGAGGGTCAACCTGGCACATCCAAACGCTGGCCGCAAATGGGAGTAGTACCAGACGATTTGCCGGTAGGGGGGGGGTCGGTCGCGTATTTTGAGCGAGTCGCCCGAACGACCGTTTTTAACGGTCGCCGCGCTATTACTAAATCACATTATCAGCAACGAATAACTTGGAAAGGATCGCGTGACACCGGGCCACTCGGGGCCGCGAGCGAAACCGAAAGCAGCCGCCAATCGTGTATAGCTCGGTTCTACTCACACAAACGCACTTTTTTTCCAGCAAAACCGTCAATGCAGGAGATGCCTTCAAGACGTCGTCCCCGCCCTTTGACCTAACGTTGGTCGTCCTTACGTTGTAGAGGAGGCGGGCTATCGCATCTTAGAGCCTTGTTACTCGTCTTTTCAGGTACCGAAAGCAGTCCGGGTGAATTTCAGGAACATGAAAAGTGGTTCGTTTGTGGACCCGCCTTGCAAGCACTGCCCGCTGTCGCGACGCGTGACAGACTCGACCACAACTCTGTCTTGGGAGTGAGACCGGTGAACAGCCCCCCAAGGTGCGGAGAACGTGTTACAGGCACTGGTGATGCTCGTATGCCGTTATAATTGGATTTAGACTGTCTGGAAGCGGAAGGCGAAGCGTAACTGTAACGATGTCCGGTTTGATGACACCATCACTGCTGTCCCGTGGAACTCTTTCTATTCTGTCAAAAGGCGGAGCAGGGCTGATGCAAACAACCTCCAAACACCCGTCGACACAAGAGACTCTTCGGGGCGTGGCCTGGGTAGAGGGTGTGGCGACGACGCGCTGACAAGAGGACAAACCCGTTGTGGTTCGTGGTCGGGCCTGAAATGTCTAGCTTTCGATGCCCTTTGTGGCGGGAAGTACGTTTACGGGTGTTTGCCGTTCCAATCACTTTTCATGTCTTGGCCTGCCCCGTGAATATGCTGGCACATGCAGGGAAAATGATGCACTGTTTAAAGGCAAACACCGCAGGAGGGGTCGGTATAGGACCTCCGGGAGAGGGACCCCGTTGTGTGACCATGAATTAGAGTTACCTCCTACCCGAAGAAATGTTGTGGGCGCTGATCTGAAGCGACGAAAAAAACACAGTAAACAACAGCCTGCACAGATCGGGTTCTAGGACAAATATGATCCTCTCGGGAAGCCTTTTTGTCACGTTAGCTCCCGGGTGAGCTCTTCACGCAAAACAACGAACTTCTCGCAACCTTAACCTTCGCCAACGAACGAACGGTGAACACCGCGGTTGCGGCTCCGGCGGACGGGAGTGAATGCCGGTGCATCGATGTGCCGATTGTAGTTGGACGGCAAGAGCAGTTTGCGGGTTATCCTCAGGTTCTGTGAGGCATCTTCTCCTCTGAAGGAAGGGCCAGCCGTCCCACAATAAAGCAGCCCGCAGCATCACACGGGATGCTTGTACGGTAAGTTTGAAGCACGTTTCTTCAAGGCAGCAGCAATGCCAAAAGAGGCACGAGCAACAGCAGCAAAATCTCATCGAACACGCTGAAGGAGAACATGACGGGAGAAGAAGACACATGCAGCAAGGCCGGCACATCGCACCGCAGCGTCGCCCAACGCTTTCCCTACCGCTAGTGAGCCCCCCCGCCCCCTCTCGGCTTTCAAAGACTCTGCTAGCTACCACAGCCCTCGCCGTACGAAACGAAAAGAAAACAGCCCTCCTACCACTCGCAGGAGCAGCAGCCAGACGAGACAGGTGGCCGGGAAGCCAAGAAGGTCGACACCTACGCACCGTAGCGTTCTTGCCCTAACGCTTTCCTTCCTCTTCCCCCCAAAACAACCATACCCCTCGATAAACTTCCTTTTCGAGACGCGGCGAAACTCGTGACGGTTCGGTTTAGAACTCGGCCGCCTTGGGGGCCGGGTTCTTGGCCAGGAAGTCGGTGTGCTCCTGGTACGGCGCCGATTGGAAGACAGTGGGCTTCCACAGCTCGGGGGAGAGGTAGCCGTAGGTCTTGGCGAGGGCGAAGTAGACTGCCTTCACGAAGTTGCCCAGAGTGCGGGTGTGCCCACGGGAAGACGTGTAGCAGTCCTCCACGCCGGCCATGCTCAGGAGCTTCTTGGGCACAGGGGCGGCCACGAGGCCCGTCCCGCGCGGGGCCGGGATCAGGCGCACGCGCACGGACCCGCACTTTCCGGTCACCTTGTTGGGCACGGTGTGGGGCATGCCGTTCCTGCGGCCCCAGTAGCCGCGGCGCACGGGCACGACCGACATCTTGGCGATGATGATGGCGCCGCGGATGGCCGTGGCCACCTCCTTGGCGCACTTGACGCCGAGGCCGACGTGGCCGCTCTCGTCGCCGACGGCGACAAAGGCCTTGAAGCGGGTGATCTGGCCGGCGGCGGAAACCTTCTGCACGGGCATGATCTTCATCACCTCGTCCTTCAGCTTGGAGCCGAGGAAGAAGTCCACGATCTGGTACTCTGTTGTGCGGGTCAAGGAGTGTGTGTATGGGGGAGGG